CTCCTTTCCGTCCTCCACATGATACAGGCACATAAAACCAAATTTTATGACAAAAGTTTCATCCTCATTGTTCTAAGAGTGTCGGATGCGAAGCGAATGAAAAACCAAACAGAAGTGTAAATAAATACAAAATAAATTTGATGAAAATTGTGCAGAAAGTTCATTTAATATGGATTAAAAGTTTTTCAGCTGCCCTTTCCTGGCGACTCGTGCGGACTCTCTAGTGTCTATCTGTCTCTCAGTCTGCATGTCTGTCTGTCTGTGTCCCAGTGGCTTAATTCGATCCGATTTGATGGGTAAGGATGAGTATAAGAACTTCACAACTCGCTACCTTACGATGATTGGAAATGGCATGCGGGACATTTGCTTGTAATTGGATTTTAAAGTAGTCAAATTCTAGTCCGTCTGTCCGTCTGGGATACATTTTTGCGAGTGAATCCGAGTGATGACTGAACATGTCCATTTATCTGGGTAAATTCAATTATATGGAAACTTTGCAATAGTTATTTCTGGCTTGCTGCTGCATAATTCATTATGGCCAGCCAGCAACTATGTGAAAATTTCGATAACTCACAAGTTTGAAAATTTGTGCGCAAATTAAATTAAGCTGTCACTGCCCGCCGTCCCCCCCCACACCGTAGTCAGGGTGGCCGTGTAGCTGTGGTGGGAGAAGTTGAGGACACAACACTCAGGCCACAGAAACTTTCTTTGCAAAGTGTCAAGTTTTAGTTGTCGTAGACGTTTCCGAAATTATTTTTTGAAGTTTATTACAAGAAGGCGTGCGCGTGTCCAAGGATATACTCGTACTATGCGAGTGTACGAGTCTACGAGTGGCTGCTCTGAGTGGAAGGGAGTCTCCTCCGACTGAGACTCGTGTGTGCTCTCTGGCGCATAAAGATCATTGACCAGCCCCATCCCCCAGTCCCAGGCCCCCAGAGCCGTCCCAGAGCTTGCCCAACGTAAGTCAAAGTTTGGTGCAGTTTGAAATTATGTCACCCCGGCCAGCGGGTGCTCATTTGAAGCATTTGTCCGGGACATGACAAAAGTTCCTTAGTGTAAATTCAATAAGGCAACATTTTGCATAAACGAGGCAGGCTCAGCAGCCCAACTTCGGTGCTGCCTCTGTCCCAAAACTGTTAAATGGTAATTTAATGAACCCTTTTTTTCCCTTCATCCCTGCCCAGACTTTGGGATTTAGTTACGGCGACTCAAGCCCACCTTTTGCATGATAAGTGGGCTGCAAAAGTTCTGGAAGCTTGAATTTAGTTTAATCGAGAGTGAACGTATTATATGGCTGAGGCTGGATCGATAGGTCCTCTGACTGTCTGTCTGTCTTCCCCAACGAGGTGCTGGTAAATCTGAAAAGATTGACGTCAGCTCCATTCTGCCAGCTGCCTCACTTCCGCCATGCCATTCTCGACCGTTCGGAACTGCACTCAAGGAAAATTGGCAACTGACAACTGGCTTTTATTTTGACCACCTCCAACTTTTCGCAGCCGAGGGCAACATCTCATCAGTGTTTATTCATGAGGCAGCAACACTTTTCTTAATAAGTCTTCATGCCCAGTGTCCCAGGTCGAATGTCTGTTGGCCACTGGCCACTGGCCACCGTATGCCACTGGTCAGTCCGGCCCGGCCTGCAGTGTCCATCTGGCATTGAGGTTTCCCCATCGTGTCCTGCACTCACGTCCAGAGAAATTGCCAGTTATGTGAAAAGTGTCACATCTTCTGCAGCAGCAGGAGGAGACAGATGAGGGGCTGGCCCAGTCCATTGTGTTGTGTCACAGTTGGCCGGCAATTGACCCACGCCTCGCACTTATTTATTTGCATTGTGCACTTTACAGAAACGAGAATATTTGTGATATAAAAACGGACCAGCAGTCCAAGCAGCCCAAGCAGTTGCAGTTGCTCTGTGTCAATTTAAATGAGTTCGAGGCGTGTCAAATCTCCCCAGGGGCTGCAGCTGGGGCTGGATGGATTGCTCCGGAAGAGCCTGGCTCTCTGGGAGAGTGCAGGGGGCCAGATGCATATGCAGCAACCGGCCATATCGCTTATCTGCACTGCATGGCATTGTCACTATTTATTATGCACTCAGGCTGCCTCATTTGCGTTCTGCTCTGCTTTAAGTGATTGCAAATTTGTTTGGTGGCGGCAGCTTTAATGCGGTCGCCAGCCGGATCACACTGAGTCCCTGCCCGATTAATCAATGCACTCATGCACAATTAATGTCCATGTACATTTTCGTTAATAACGCTCCGGCTGCTCGTCAGACGTGTGAGTTGTGCCAGCACATTCGATGCGAATTAAACGCTTTTCGTCAGCACAAAAAATACAAATTAAACATCGGTAAAGCAACGCAAATTGGCCGCTTTGTGCATCAGGATTTCTCGACTTCATTTGGCCCCACAAGAGTCCTTAGCTCATGTTTAATAACTAAGCAATGGGGGAATGAATGGGAAAATCAGCATTGTTGCAACCGGCAACCTGGCAACCTGCACCCTGTCCCACGCTGCCCCCTTGGCGACACCAAAGCGAGAGCCAAGTGCTGGCACCTCCGGCGTCCGGTCACTATAAATTTGATAGGGAATCAATGGAATCAATTTACGCTCCTCGCCAGCACATTGTCTGGCTCCAGCTGTGTGTGTGTGGCCATGGCCACGGCCACGGGCGACGGCAATGGCGATATGATGGCGATGACGATGACGATACGGTTGGACTTGGTGCACAAGGGACGACAACGATGACGACGACGACGGCAACGACAACGACGACCACAACGTTAGTTCGCTATTGGAAATGCACACTTGACATCCTGCGACACGCAGGTCAGGAGGATATCGTGAGAAAAACCAACAAAGAGAAACAGAGACACTGCTCGGAGCAGAGCAGACCATCGCCAATCTGTAGAACACTCGTCAGCCACACCACCGCTGATTGTGGTTGGGGGAAGGCGCGTTGAGGGGATGAAACCATCATAAATAAATCAATTTGTAATTCGATGCGCGTAGCTAATTGATTTTAATTGTGCTCTGCGGTCTGTCAAACTCAATTTGGTGACTCTGTGCACTCTGTGCGCTGCATCGCATCGCAACGCATCGCATCGCAGGAAAAAGGATATGTCTCTGGGCAGGAACAACACGTTCCCCACCGGCTAATTGCACGTAAATAAGCTGCGGTCCAATATCCGAGGCTGGACACGGACACGGCTCCTGATCATTGGGACATGTGCCTGCCTGCCTGCCTTTTCTGTGTCTCTACTCGCTGCTGCATCTGCAATGCAAATTAGTTGACTTCAATTAGCAGGCCCTGCATCATTTTGCTGCACACTATGTTCAGAATACTCGCACTAGTCCATGTTCGGGTGAAGGAATTAAAAAAAAAGTATCTAATTGGCCCTCCCGCAAGCCCATTCCAAATTAGAGCCATGTTGGCACGGATGTTGTTGCGGTGCGTAGGCAGAGTTGATCGATTAATTGAAGGATCCGATTGCGGGTGAGGGAGTGCCTACCGCTCAATGTACAAGGACTGTCCCCGTTTGCGAACAGGTTCCGTTCGAATAACGAACTAAATTCCCACTTCCCTCTGACAACTCTGATAGCTTTAACATTTTTATTGTTGCGAGTACAGAACATTTTGAATTGAATTAGAACGGAGAAATACAGATAAAAATAATAACGAATAACGACTACGAATATTCGGTTGCTTTGTCCGTGATCCTTGTGGCAGGGCAGGCTGCAGCAGACAAGGATTTTTCGCATTTGCAAAGCATCAGAGAACCAACCGCAGAGCCGAGCAGCTGCTGTATTCTGATACATTTTGTTGCTATCATCTGCAGAGTGGTTGAAATTATTTCGGTGCTTGTTTGTTTGCAATTTAATTTAAATACACACAGAGAGCAACTTTCCAGACGCTTGGCAAACGAAACGGAATGCCAAGATATTTATATATTTATTTTCGCATTTGCAGAAATATTTTCTATGCAAAATCACGCACAATTCAAATGTTGCTGTTGCCGTTGCTGTTGCTGTTGCCGTTGCCGTTGCTGTGGCTATTGCCATGCATCTCTAAAAACACACTTTTATGCTCGTATATTCGAGTGTGCGTTTTCAAATACATTGTGGAAACGGCAAAAGCGAAAAAGGATCCTTATATATCTGCAATTATTTGTGACAACAGAGTCGGAGCGGAATCGGAGACCCCTTTGGCTCGTCGAAAAGTTTCTGCTGGAAGTCGTTCGAGGAGCAGCTCTCGGCCGCAATTGAAAAGAAATAACAAAGCGCGCTTCAATAATTTTCCTACAACTCGTTCTTGTGATTCTAGTGGGGCGGGGTACACTCGTACTGGCGGCACCAACAAAATATAATACAAAATGCGCATGCAGAACGGAAACGGCAACGCCAACCAACAGCAACAACAACAACAACAAAAAATGGCTGCGAAAGGAACGGAACGGAACGGAACGGAAAGGACGGAAAGGACAGCAACGGAAAAGGGAGTATGCAGTGCATTGTACTAGATTCTTTCTTTTACATTTCTTTCAGCTCTTCCGCTGCGTAACGGCAAGTTTTTCACACTTTGGCAGGCAAACTAAATGCAGACAATAACCAAAAGCCAGGCTGGCGAGGGAAGGAGGCACGAGGCTGGGCCGGCCTTTGTTGCCAGAATTTTCACTAAGATTGCTTAACGCCAAAAATCAACAGTGGAAATGCGTTGAGTCGGAAAATGCATTGGGTCACCGGTCACACTGTAGAATAAATGAAAATTTCTGGAAATTCCAGGCATCCGAATCGAGTAGAATTAGACCAGGCTGCGTTTAAAATTAACACACACTTTTTATTTAATTTCACCACCATTTACAATATGCCTATACAAGGCTTTGATTTATTTACTTTAAATTAAATTAATATTATTTTAATTTGGTTTTGCATTAAATATATATTTTACACACATTTTCTTATCTGTTTGATTTTTGGTTTTCCATTTTACTCGTTCGCTCGTGCATCTCATGTATTTCTGTTGTATTTTTCACATTTAAAGTAGATTCAGTAATTTGATGTACTCTGTATATTTTTGTATTCTTCATTGGGGTTTTTGCTTTAAGTTATGTTTGAGTTTTCTTTGGTTTTTCAATGGGTTTTGTGTAAACATTTATATTTGGATTTCCAGGAGTGCGGCCAGGGCCGGGCCAGGAGTGCCAGTGGAGTGCCCCCCGGCTCGTTCCTCTATAGGTTGTAGACTCTTCTCTGGTGCATCTTGCTGCTGGGGCTTAAGACTAGGCTAGTTTATAAATGTTCGCTTAACGTTAATTTGTTTTTTTTTTTTTTTGGTTTTGTTTTGTTTCGTTCTCTTTTAGCTCGGTAGTAGACACCACATCTCAAAGTGCGGGGCAATGAAATGAGAATGAAAAGCAGTCATCAAATGAAGATCATCGAACCGAACGCCAAACGCAACTCAGGCTTGCATAAAACATATGTTGAATTACTCGTACTTAAGGATTTAACTAACTGGTTTGCCGGTAACACATGCCCATGTCCATGCCGGGCAGACGGGACTCGCTTAGGCCTGGCCAACCGTCCTGACTGCTGGCCCGGCCAGTGGCTGCTTGGGCGCCTTGGAGGCGCTGCAGCTGGACAGAAGGGGACGCGGCTGCTCCTTGGAATGTGTCATCAATGCGGTGGCTGCTGGTGCCGTTGCAGCTTCTTTGCGGGTGTCTGCAGCCGGGTGCTGGGCACCCACAATTAGCCCATGGCCCATCAGGGAGCTAATAATCAGAGCTGCCAGGGCGCCCATTACGAGGGGCGCCACGCAGACGCTGGGGCTGGGTCGAGGCGAGGCGGACGATGTCGAGAAATACGAACTAAAAAAGTTCGTCAGGCTCGAGTCGGATGAGAGCGTAACTGTGCTCCGGAAGCAGCCAAACAAAGAAAGAGAGTTGGAGGGAGAGCGGAAACGGAAGGCAGATGGATCAGTAACGTTATTGCATAATTGGCTTAGGCGAGCAGACAGTCAGTTGGACTCACCTCGTGCCGGTATCGGATCCTTTTGCGGAGTGCCCAATTCAATTTCCTTGTACTCCTGATACAGGTCGCCGATTTGTGCCGAGCAGCGCAGCAGCAGTCCGCCCGGATTGGGATTGGGTGCGTAGACGGGCCCTCCGTGGCCGTAGACAGAGTTCAGGCCGTACACGCCATTGTAGATGGCCGGATTGATGCTGGAGAAGTGCACGCCCTGCAGCTGCAGCTTCACCGAGATGCGGGAGGCAATCAGATTGTCGATGGTTCGTATGTACTGGGTTTCCACATTGGTTATCTGCAATAGGAAAATTATGGGGTTACAGAGCGAAGATTGAGAGTGTGCCAGGCGCAGGGATTAACATTTTTAGACAGCTCCTGTTTGTTTTACACTCGCAAATGCATTTGCATAATTTAAGACGCCCAGACGAGGATTCTGTGGAGTGGTTGTGGGTGTTCGAGTGGGGCGGTTCAACATTTGGCAACGTTTAGCCCTCACGCTCGTAATAGTTTTGTTTGTACTCCTTGGACCGGGGACCAAGGAGAAAAAAACTTTTGCCAGCCAGCATCTTGTCGCCATTTGCAAGTTGGCACAGTTCGGCGAGGAGCCGAGGTGGGGGACAGTTGCCACATGTGCTGGGAGACACTTGTGTATGCATGGAAATTATGTATCAAGGAACTTTATCTGTGTTAATGTAATGCAGCAAAAAGCAGCGGCGTCTGAGCCAAACACAAACACACAAAGCGGCAGAGAGAGACACAGAGAGAGAGCGGAAAAAAAGTGGAGCCCTGGCCGAGCCGGAAGACTCACACAATTGCACACATTAGTGGCTGCGGCATCACCAGCAGCAGCAGCAGGACATGCTTGCTGGTAGGACAAGGACACAGACATGGACATGGACATGGAACGGGCTCAGCCAGAGCCGAAACTGCGCCAGACGACACATTTGACGAAAGTTTTGCCAGTTTTCTGCAGGCTTTGCCTAGCTGCCGGCCCGGCCCGGCCCGATCCGATCCAATCCGAGCCGGGCCTTCCTCCTCCACTCTGCCTTTAGTCCCGTCTTATGCGCCATTTCTGCCTTTCATTTGACTTGCATCTTTATTGCTCTGTATCCATATCCGTATCCCCATCCGCTTCCCCATCCACATCCATACCCATGTCCATGTCCATGTCCTCGCTGCGTAAGTCCACTTTATTTTCGCCAGCTCTAAGACGCTTAAACTTGCATTTGGCTTAAATGCTGGCAGCAGCTCCTTCATGCGAGAACAGCTTTTATGCTTAATGGCAGTTATTTAGTGCAATTCACTGTAAAATTGTTGCCATAAGAGAATCTGCCGCTCGCCAGCTCCATCTCCATCGCCAAGTCTCTTTCTCTCTTTTTCTGCATCTACTACTACATCTGTATGTGAGTATCTTTATATCTCTGTGCCCCGCTTTGGCCATGTAGATCTGTGTATGTGAAAGGATTTGCGCTTTGATAAATATTTTCTCTTTTTTTCCCCCTCCCCCCTACGCATGTGCATTTCAGATGTTTAAGCAGCAAAACTTCTTTTTGTGTTCACGTATTTTACGTGCAGCTTTTCCTTTCCACATGTGTATTTTCCCTTTTCCTGTGTTGTGCACACAACGCAAATTATATATTTTAAATAGCTTTGTGCAGTTTAGTGTCGGACGACAGCAAATGTGCCCCACTAAGTCTTGCAGGGCCAGCATATAGTGAGAGGAATTCGTTTTGTACAACAGCCACCATCGATACGTTGCGAGATCATAATACCACTATGCTAAGACTACTAACATTTGTATGCCTGATATTTTGTTTCAGATTAAGTTCAGTCTTATTAATGGGGAACATAAACTGGCGAATGATTATTCAAACTTTAACCATAGCACATTAACGTCATTAACTGGGCTGCCACTGTTTTCATTTATTTGTCTCAATTCTATCGATATATATTATTATGGTAGAGTACATATCGAAATCCCTGGTGTTTCTCTCCATGGCTTTTGTGCATGACACATAGCATTGGTACATATATATATTTATAATGTACAAATTCCAATATTACTATTTAATTGCGCTACTTCCTCGAAAAGGTACAGCCGATATTTGCAACGAAAATATCGATATGCAGAATTATCAACCATGTGTTAATCAAACGAAAATATAATAAATTAAATTAAAACTCTGCAACTATTCCCGTTCTGTTGTAAGTTTTTCCACAGACGTCAGCCAATTGGGAATTAATAAATCTTCAAGCTTGCATAGGCAAATTTACTTGGAGAGAGTGTAAAAATGGCAGCGGCAAGCAGCATGAAGCTTTACGGTGGCCGCAATATGGGCTGCATTGTGGAGCGCATTGAGTGGAACAATAAAATGGATCTCTTTGCCTACGGCACAGAGAAAGGAGAGGTGGTGATCCAGCGGCTAAACTGGCAGAAGGTAGCAGCCTTCCCACCGCCCATCGAAGGTGCCAAAGTGCGCTCGCTCAGCTGGCAATGGGACGACACGCTGCTGGCCGTGGGCTACAGCAGTGGAAAGGTGGCCATGGTGGATGTCGACAGCGAGAGCCTGTTCTCGAGCCTAACCTACGACGACGACATCAGGAAGGTCCACTTTAGCCGGACTATCGACTGCCCGGAAACTCTGGAGGGCCACACCTTCAACTCCAAGGACAGGCACAAGCAATTTCTGCCCAAGCCACGGCCGCTGCCCAGCATTGACCCATCACTGAGGACCGACGACCTAAGTCCTTTCCCGAAGGTTTGCCCAGCTTCCTGATCGTAGTCCTATGCAGTGGGAAATTTCATCTGCTGCTTTTTGGCGCCCTGCAGGCGGGCAGCATCGATCTCACCCAGCACGTGCTGCACCCCGAACAGTTCGAGGTTTACGATGTGCAACTGAACGGCGACTCGAATGCCATTTACGCCCTGGTGCGCGATGGCCAGCAGCTGAAGTTGCTCCACTTCCCCAATCAGGTGCTGCAGGACAGCATGGCGCCCGTAATGGGTGTGGCCAGGCTCTGCGCCCACATACTGGAGACGAAAAACTACATAAGCAACACCGAGCATTGCCTGCTGGAGGCCCGGGAGGCTGTCCAGCTGGAAATGCACAATAAGCTGACGGCCTACGTCAGCTCGCAAGCGTACGGAATCGCAGCCACAGACCTTCAGGAGCTGCACCTTTTTGGCTACACTTCTTTGGAGGTGGAGGATTTCCTTACAAAGTCGGAGAAAGATTTCAGGAAAATGGCCAAGGGTGTGGAACTCAGCCTGAAGGACCTGCAGGGCCTGGTATTCCGGCAGCTGAACGAAGCGGCCATCAGGATGTTCTACTTTCTGAACGCGATGACCGGCCTGGGTCGCATCTCCCATTTCTATGAGTCGCTCATCGTGCCGGAGGTGGCCGTCGAGGCGATGCGTGCGTGCGGATCCTTTTATCTGAAGGTGCACGAGCTGCAGCGGACCATCGATACCCTGGTTAACGAAATGAAGCTCTTTCACAGCTGGCTGATCTTCACCGTAATGCGGCTGTCGCACCAGGAGATACCCGACAAAATCGTCCTCAGCGACGAGCAGAACTGTGCTCTGGCTGAGCTCCTTTTCACGTTGGCACCGATGGATGCAGATGATGGCAGTGATGATGAGGAGGAGGGGGCTGAAAGCGCCCCTTCACTGCCCACACGCAGCCTGTTCAATCTGGAGCGCGTGGGTCAGTATCTGGAGAATGCCTTCCTGACGCAGCCGCAGCAGCAGTCCGTGGACCCCGACCAGCTGTGGGAACAGCTTGTATCCGAGAACGACTTCATGGACACGTCCAATACATTTGCGCCGCACGACACGAAGCTGTCACTGGTGCAGCAGCGCGAAAAGTTGTTCAATGCCATCGATGGCGTCTTCCAGAGACCCACGGAGAGCATCAGCACCAGCTTCAAGCTCAGCTCGACCATTATCTGCAGCGAGTTTTGCGCCATGGAGCCAAGAAAGGATCAGGACTTTGTGACGTGCAGCTATTATGTCCACGAAGCTGCCAGACGGGATATGTTCGCCCTCGCTATCAGCTGGGAGGAGGCCCTGATCCTGCAGTTCAGCCGGGCCGACAATTGTTTCTTGCTCTGCTCAAGCATCCACCTGAGGGCGGGCCCCTTCACCCCGGAGCTGCACAAGAACTACAACAATCTGCGCTTCGTGGACCTGCAGTTCTACAACGAGTCCATCCTATCCATACTGACCCAGAGCACGTCCCCCGCCAGGGATGTGCGTCCCCACAGCTGCTTCATTCAGCTATTGCTAAGCGGGGTGACGAATCAGTGCCCCCGGCACCATTGGGCGACGCTCATAAATCTGACGGATGCGACGGTAACTCGCAGCATCCACGACATCGCCGCCACGGACGCCTTCAAGTGTTTGGATGGAGTGTGCGATATGCTCGCCGTCTCCGGCGGCCGCAGGTTGGTCACAGTTATCTCCGACGGCCACCGCAAGATGACAATCTTCGAAACGGAAGTCCAGGCGACGGACGACACGGAGCTGACCGACGGATCGTTTCTGCAGATCAGCTCGGATACCAATTACCCTGAGCAGCTGGATACTTAGACTTACAATAATTAGATTAAAATTAATCTGAATATTTGTAGTCCATGTACGAGTACTCGTGAGTCCCGAAGAATGAAACTGAAACTGGAAATTTTCGCTGTATTTTGTGGCAGCAACAATGCTGGTAGAGATGCTCTGACTGCAAGCATAAATTCCCTGCAGCCGGCAGTCATTCAGCCGAAACCAGACAATGCTAAAAACCAATAAATATATTTTATACGAGCACTGTACTCCACTCGAACATAGTGCACAATATATATATGTGGATGTGTGTGTGTGTGTGCAGTGCATTGGTAGCGTATCAATAACAAATAAATTGTGGATAGCACTGCAATATCTTTCGGGCCGATACGTTACTGCGCCCGGTTGCTGTTGCCAAGAATACAACAAACAACAAACAGCAACAAAAACTATGGCACAAAAGGAGCTGCCAAATAATGCTACGTTAGGGGTTGCCGTTTGCCTCCTGGCTGAGCAGCTTTTTTCAATTTTCCGCTAAATTTGGCAGGGCTCAAGTGCTATTTGTCTTCATTAATGCGAATGCGCCTAGAACTTGGCAAATGCCTCTCGAAGATTCGGTTCGTTCGGTTGGCTCGGTTCGCTCAACCCCCGGCAACTGCTGCGTAGCATTTTTAAGCCAAAACGACGCCAAATGACATGCAGCAGTTATTAATTGGCAATTTACATGCCAAATGATTAATGCCCGTCGGGCCCGGCCTGCCCCGGCCTGGCTACGGATACGGATCCGGATCGGACGGAAGCCGCCAGACCCAAAATAGAGCCACAGCAGCCGTAAACCGAAGGCACATATGTCACACGGTGGGTGTGGGTGTAGGGTAGGGTAGGGTAGGGGGGCTGTGGGGTTGTGGTATGTGTGATGCTGGCATGTGCTTGGTTTCGGGGTAGCATTTGCGGTGGGGGTTGGACCTCTTGCAAATTACTGCTGTGGCATTTCACCGCAAAAACTTTTGTCAACATAAAGTTCTGTCCGGGCCCAGGTCTTGGTCTTGGTCTTGGTTCTGGTGCTGGCTCCTGCCAAAGACTTTGGCTCCTTGCTGGCGCACCTTTTAACGTAAACTTTGCTGTGGCACAGACCTTGTCGGAAGTGCCGGAGTGTAGGCAGCCAACAGCAGTGTGTGTGTGTGTGTGTGTGTGTGTGTGTACGTGTGCAGCCAACATCCGCCTCCATCGTTGGCTCCCCTCCGTGTTGATTTGCACAGCATGAAATATTCATTTGTTTCCTGTGATCGGCAATTGTAATATATCTTCCTCCTGCGGTATCGTTTTCTACTCAATTTTAGTCAATGTCTGCCACGTTTGCTTACTGTTTGTTGTCTTGCCTTTGCCATTGCCGTTGCCATTGCCGTTCAGTTGCTACTCCATTTGCCACTGCCGAAAATTTCTAGATGTCCTTGCTCCATGTGGCAGCCAGAGGAGGAGCATTGCCGATAAGCTATCATTTCATTTTCAGCCAACAACCCGTTTGAATATTCTCTCTTCCCGGAGCCAGGGATGGAGCCTTTTCCTTGCTTCTTTGTCCTTGCAGTGCTCGCTCGAGCATCGAGTTATTGCGGTGCAAATGATTTGAATTCATTTATCATGTTTAATGCGGGCTTGCCAGTGCGCTGCTGGAATGTGGCAACCATTTTTCAACGGCATTGACAACCCTCGCCACTCTCCACTTTAAAGAGTCGGAGCCCAGCCAGGAACTAGCATAATGGAAAGCATTTGCAGGGTCCCCCGACCAGGGATTCTTGGTTAATAAAATCATCAGAAATTTGGCAATTTGTAAGCCAGCCAGGATTTTCTTTTGTTTCCCCGAACAATGTGTGTATTGTGCACCTATCGCCGCTGTCAGCTATCGTTGATGCTTTTTTAATTGGTGAGCTCAGCCAGTAGCAGGGATCATATTTCTCAGGGTTTTTGTGCTGCCATTACAATGGCAGATATATCCGATGCAAGTCAGACTTTGCTCTCATCCCGCATCCAATTCTGGGAATCCTGAATGCGAATCCCAAGCACAAATCAATGCGAATGTTTTCCCATGCAAAATTATGCATCACCCAATGGCAGACACATCTTAAGCATGGCAAGCAGCCCGGAAATCAAATAGGAGTCAATGCAGTGCTTCTGCCAACCTGTTCAGCACGTGGCCCGGACATCCAGCACTGTCTGTGCCACATCACCTTGCAGTGGCAAATGCTTGGAGCGCAATGGGAAACTTTGCCTTGACCAACTCAACTGCTCTTGACATCGGAGCGCTGGATAGAAATTACAGCAGAGACAGAGAGACAGTGCTACGAGTCGCATGTGGCATGCATATTCATAAAATTGCAATGGAAAAAACCCCGGTATTCCGACAGCTCTGGCAGGCAGATGGAGGCAGGAATGGGGCTGGCACAATGGCAACAGCTACAGCGAAAGCAACCAAAAGTGAAAATCCACAAGGCATGACAGCCACGAGAGGGTCGGGTCTTGCACACAGCTGTGACTCGTGCTCCTAGTCCTGGTCCCCGTTCTGCTCGCGACAAAGGATCTGGTTATGTTTGCGACCGCATAGAAATCTGTATTTCACAGTAACTAAATGACAAAGGAGGCGGCCACAGATGCGCCTCAGCCTTGGCCTCGGCCACATGACAATTCTCACTCTCTCTCTCTCTCTCTGTCTCTGTGTCTGTCTCTGTCTGTCTGTCTGTGGCTGTGGCAGGCTGTGAAATTGCGCATACGCCACGTTGACGGATGGACGAGCCCCATAGGCAAATGGTGGCAAACAAAAAACACAATACAAATGGGGAACGAACCCTTTTGATTAAAGTCTCATGTCCTGGCAGATTTTCATGTTCATTTCTCAGCAGAATAGACAAGGACTTCAAAGGATTGGGAACTGCTTTGAGCACAAATAGCCGCTGACCCGCTGTCAAGTTTGTTTTTCTTTCCGTAAAGCATAAAATAAATTGAAGTGGACTCGGGCCCAAGCACAGACCCGGATCCGGAATCCGGATACAGGCTACATACAGGCGGGCTACTGGACTCTACTAATATTTCACTGGAATAATCCCGAAATGGAGCAGAGTAGAGCTCTAGTACTTACCACCATGTTGTTGATTGTGAACGTGAGCTCGGCCCGCGGCCGTGAGGGCGGAGTGCTGCAGTTTGCTCGCAGAACGTCGCCGGGCTCGTAGCGCGTGTGCTCCGTGGACAGCTGGGGACGCTTCTCGGGCAGCTCTGCAATATAGAGACGGGAAAGGGTTGAGCTTTAGCTTTTTGACTGGGCAGGATAATTCAATTAGTTGGTCCGACCGGTTTTGGGCACGCACTTCACCAAAACGCACATTAATAGGCGCATAAGTGGAGACGGAAACCCGTGCCGCCTAAGCTCTTCAATCACAACCGCACCGGCGGAAGGAGTTCCGAGGGGATCTGCGGAGCTGGCCACGCTTAACTTTTTAATTAAGTCAACCGGGGCGAGGCCCCAGCCACCGCAAGACCGAGAGCAACAAAGTAACTAATGAAGAAAGTAATTTCCATGACAAAGGCGGCGGCAACGGCAACTTTGCTCTTCCCTATCCGGGCATGGCTCAAGGCAACTTTCTCCCCGTGCCTGTGCCTGTGTCTGTGTCTTTGTGTGTGTCTCGCTTTCTAATCCTGAACCACACCGAGCACCCCTCGACTTTTTGCTGCCTTGGCTTTGTGCAGATTTTGACCTTTTTGCTAGGCCTCGCCCAGTGCCCATCGCCCAGTGCCCAATGCCTCTTGCCTTTGCCTTTGCCGTCAAATTCTGTCTAATGAGGGTCAGTTTGTGCCGCAAGTTTTGAGTTTAATTTAGCAGCTGACCAGCCTACTTTGCACTTGGTTTTAGCCACTACCGCTCCTACTCCTCCTCCTGCTCGCCCTGCCCTGCCACGCCCCCCGACCTTGATGTGACTCATGTCATTAAGTTATTAAAGTTAAGGCTGCCCAAATGTTTGCCAACTATAAACTTTTGACTTGTGCAAAAGGCAGAAGGAGCCCGCCATTGTGACTTAATGAAAGCCAGAATTAGCATAACTTTTGGGCCAGGCCATCCATTGCCCATACCATTCCTCTCACCCTCCTTTCGCCCTGCCTGCCAGCCTGCCTGCCTGCCTGCCTGGCATCTTGGCACTTTCGCTGTTGTCCTTGCCGCGACGCGTATCGGTACCCGCCACAACTGAATGCCAGGGCGCGGCACAGTTCGGCGCAAGGACAAAGTGTTTATTTTATGTGCCTCGCAGACTCTGCGCCATAGCCAGAGCCCGAGCCAGACGCAGTCTCAGCCTTTCTGGTGGCTTCTTGGCCCGCAATCTGATTGCCACTTGAGCTCATTAACACACGATTAAACCTCAGAGTTATTTGCGCCAAGGACAGCCAGCGCTTGCCGTTGCATAAGTGAATGGGTGCGCACTGCGCACGGCTAAGCGGGGGCCACAATAGTGTTGCATAAAACATAAGGCGAAAACACACACACAGCGACACAGCCAGGGCCGAAAATTATGCTGCAAATCAATGAAATTAAAGCGAAAGTTTAGGCAAATAAGTTTGCCGATCTGTCTTTGGCTTGTACGCATCTTAAAGCAGACATTCTCGTGTACAATTCGGTGGTTTCAGGGCGTGTACGCAATATGGTTTCTGTTTGTGTTCATCCCCGGTCTCGGACTGGTTTGCTGCTGGCTGTTGTAGTAGTAATTTATTGTTTAGCCAGCAAGTTATTGGGGTTTTAGTGTCGACGACATTAGGGCAAAGCCACAGAGGCTTATAGACACACACACACAGGCGAACAGAGGCGCCCGGGACTTGAGGCTGGCTCCTGTCAGTGTGTCAGTCCCCGGCTGGCTTATCTCCCATTGATGTATGTCTTGCTCTAGAGCCCTGAGCCTAGCAGTACAACAAAACAGGAGAGCAACCAATTAAATGCCACACCATTTAATGAAACTTTAATAACAGAAGAAGCGGCAAAACAAAGGGCGTGGCATGGCGTGGCATGGCGTGGCACTGCGTGGCATGGCGCGTCCTTGAAACGCTGCGGGGCATTTGACCCAGCAGAAGACCTCATGAATTTAAAGCAAATGCATGATCAAAAGCCCTAATCCCTTGCTGCTAGTTAAGCAAAAGCGGCCAATTAAATGGGCTAAATGCGGCGTTAAATATAAAACGGACGGGCACGCAGGCAGGCAGGGAGGCATGGCATTCAAGGAGCGCCAGCGAGCCCGCAAGGGCAGGAGGCAATGGCAATCTAATAAAGTCGGCCAGGACGGGTACGCGAACGCGGCAGACATCTAAATGTTTAATGCTGAGCAACAACCAGCCAGTCAGCCAGTCAGCCATCCAGAGAGCCAACCAGTCAACCAGTCATCCAAGCCTTAGCCCAGACCCAGACGAGCGCTCTCCATCATACGCACGCACACAGCAAGACTCTGTCGAAGGGGTTGCCAGCAGCCCAGTTGCTGCCGGCTGGGTGGATGTTGATGCCGAATGCGGCTGCGGATGTGGAGGACGTATGGAGCAGAAATAAATCGCTCGGCAAGTGGCATAAAAATCAGCCACTAAAGCAGAATTTAGCTGTCAGAGCGAATTTCTCGAATGCTTAAGGCCAAGCGGATATAAAGATTAGCTCTGGCAAGCGCTGATGCCGCTGCTTCGACTGTTTGTTGATTTCACAGATGAGCCTGCCGCTTGCCGCCTACTGCCTGATGCCAGCCAGCCAGCATTCCGGTCGATTCAGGTCACATTACGCATACGCCCCCCTCCGCCACTTGCCCCATTCCCCATATGCTGCAACGACCTACTAAGCCACAGCACAAGTGGATGGCCAATTGTTGTGCTCTTGTGCCGCCTGTGCCGCCTGTGCCTTCCTGCCATTAATGCCAGCTGCTGGTTGCGCATCAACTAAATAATTGTTAAGCCGAAACGGACTGGCGCTCATTGCTTTTCATGACCCTGCCACGCTGATTAAATCCGTAATTCAGGGCGCGGCGCGGCGTGCCATGGTACGCTCATTTAAAGCGCATAAAGCCGTGAAATGCGTGGAGCACAGGTAAGACTCCCAAATGACCCCAGACAACACCACCACCACCGCCACCACCGCTACCAGCTAGCATCAAGCATCCACCTCCACACACCTCCCCACACTCCATACAACCTGCTTATCTGGCAAAGTCGAAATGGCCTGTTAATGACGCAATTTTCAGCGGAAAAGTTTCCCGACCAGCAGAAGTAGCAGCAGCAGCCGGAGCAGCTGCCGTGACCTTGGCCCCACACAAACGAATTGCCAAAGAGACAGAAAGTTTTCTACGCTCTGGTCTGGTCTGGTCTGTTCTGGTCTGGGCTGACCTTCTCCCCGCTATGGTTGCTCGAAGTTGACGCAACGCTCTTAGCGATCAAAGGAGACTGTCAAAGGTGGCCGGATAGCTGATACACTCACTCTCGGCTAACATGGAAGCTTTTAAGCGCACTTTAGGCCAATTTAGATGAATCAGCTTAGACATAGAGTGTGGAATGGGAGTGTGAGTGCGAGTGAGGAATGGCAATGGGAATGGGTATGAGAACTGAGATGAAAGAGAAACGAAACTGTACGTATATGAGACTTACCGACAACTTGCATGGTGTCCACTGCTGTGGCTGTCGAAAAAAGTGGGGCATCGGCGGTGACTTCGCATGAAAAGTTTCCAGAGAGGCCGAATCCAACATTGCGTATGAGCACCTGGGTGGCATTCGAGCTGGTCACCTGTTGATCGAGGGACAGAAGAAAGTTTAGTTTTAGTTTATTTAAAGTTATGTCCTGCACGTTTTCCCCAAAGCTAACATAAACAATATATCGTCTCTGCACCTGCCAACTCTCAGCTGTCCGCAATCTGACATCGAACCCAACAAAGAAATGCACTTAAATTTATTAAAACAGCTTAAAAAACAAACAAATACATATACACAGTCCGCAGTCGACAGTCGACAGTCTACAGCCCACAGGACAGGAATAAACGACAAGAAAAACTGTCTGCAAGCTAGGTAAAAGTTTTCCACGGCAACAAAACAACACACAAAAAAAAAAAAACAAAAAACCCAAAAAGAGAGTACAAAAAATAAAACTAAAGATAAACTCGCTGGCACAAACTCAATAGCCTGATGAAATATTTAGCCAGATTCAGAGCAACTTTATCGAAGCTACGAAATTGTAGGGAGCCTGCACCCCCCAGCCCAGCCCCCTCAGCTGCAGGCTGGATAAACTTTTTCAATAATCTAGCCAAAGTAGAATTACCCAAGTCGAGACTCAATTCTGCAACCTCAGGCCCCGCCGACCCATTCACAGTAGACCCATTCTAGTAGCTGCAGTTTTTGCAGGTGGACGACCAAACTCTGACGCAGCATTCAAAAATTTAAATGAAAATTGCGCCGCAGATAGCCGCGCGTTGATAGCGCCCAGGACCAGGGCGGAGTCCTCACGGACAGATAGCCAGGCAGCCGGGCAGCCGGGCAGCCAGGTGTCCCCTGGCATGGCTTGGCGTTTTTTGAATAACCGCCAATAACAATAAAACTGCCAAACTGAATATGCATGAGCGAAAAGTTTAAAATATACAATATAAATAAATGCAGTGTGCGCGCAATTAAGGACATCAAAGTAGAGGGTGTGCCGGAGTGCAGGTGCCGTATGGTTCTGAATCTGGTTTGTTCTTTTCTGTTCTGTTCTGTTGCTGGTCTGGTCCTTTCAGAATGGAAGCCATTGACTGGACTCAGTGGCAAACAAAAAGTGCAGCCATCGATTGCGCAATGCTTTAACGGTTTATTCTTTTGAAAAATTTTACTTCCCCCCCACTCACTCACGCACACACTTAACCAACCGCCCACCCATTCATTCAGTCACTCAATCACGTACCCCTCTGTCTCGCTTTGATAGAGTTTCGATTTTCAACTTTATTTTATAGTAAATATATATATTTTTGTGTGTCTTTTTGTCATACTTACATCGACATGAATGCCAGGAAATGGAAACACTTTCGTATTGGGAAATTCACCGGGCGTATAGCGGTAAAACTCCAATTGACCGCGATAGAATTTCGCCGAATAGAGCGGGGCCCCATCCAGGTCGTACATGCAGCGTAGCACCACATGCTGGCCCCGTCGCACCGCCGGCGGTTCAATGATTAAATTGACATTGCGCAGCGCGCACTCCACGAGCTCTGCAAAAGGGAAACAAAAGGCGGAAAATGTTGATGGAATTACGTGCGAATGCAAAGCTGGGGAATTCCAATTTAGTGTATTTTATTTTAATAAATTATTGATATATTTCGCGAGACCCGAGCCGAGCTCGGTGGCGACACTGATAACACATAAGCCACCGCTTAACTGCCCCACAATTGCTTGCATTTCAGTTATACTATTTATTTGTTTTGCGGGTATCTGTGGCGACCCCAAAAATGCCTCAAATGGCAATGCAAATATGGTCCAAACTCAATTTAGCTTGTGCAATTTTTTGTGCATGCACTTTTGTTAAGTTAATCCGTTTTTTTTATTAAAGATGCGCTCATAAATTAAAATATATTTAAAAAAAAAATACACTTCACTTCAGTTTACCCATAAAAAAAAACAAAAAATCCTGTCTATAATATACGTGCAAAGGGTATTCAAAGATTCGTTCTTAGCAGTAATAGCATGTTCTCTATAACGGTATTTTTTTCATGTGTCTCGTCAAACGATTGTCATATTTGGTGCTTAAATGATTTATAAATATTTTTTTAAACCATGGGAAGCTTGAAAGATTATTGTGTTATTTTATTGGCACCCTTGTCCATGATCATATACATATATAAAACATGGATGCATATTTCTGGTAAGGCACATTGATGGCCGGCTAGATAATTTAAATCGGAAAATACGGATATTAAATTCCAAAACTGTTGACTCAAATCACCAACACTTGCAAATTTTTCTATATTAATTCCCAGACATTAAAAAAGTAAATCAATGTTTAAGCTAAGCGAAAATGTCTTGAAAAGTTCCCAAATTCTGCAGCACAATTCCCCGCACCAACCCTCAATTTCTTTGGTAATTTTCTTGTTTGCTCGCCAAGTTTTATTAATTACCAAACAATCAACGCCAATTTCCGGCAACTTTACGGCCGCCCATTTCGGAGTCGTTTGTCAACAAATGCGTAGCATTATTCAAGGCGCCGCAGCGGAAGCTGTCCCTCTGTTTGCCCCCGCTTCGCCCCATCTGGAGACTGGAGTCGCTGTTTTACAAGCATTTGCAGCGTTGCCAACATAGCCTAACAAGGCACTCAAAAATTTTTTATATCTTATTTGGGTCACATTTCATGCGGCTGTGCCCTTAAGAATAATGGCACATAATTTGCGGCTTTGCCGCCACCCCATTTCAGGAAATGGAGAAAGGATGGATGCTCCCATGTTAACTGTAGAATGAAGATATGAGGCAAGAATTTGGCAGCCTTGTAAATCTCTCGCGAGGCGAATAAAATTAAATTGTTTTCATCTTTTTTTTTTTTTGTTTTTTTATATGCCGTCTGTGCGTGTAATTCATTACCTTCGGGAGTTGTTCGCAGATCGGGCGATATCTTTGCTGCATGCGTCTGAGGGAAATTGGCATGATTTCCATGATGTTGCCACAGCCATTGCCACTCGAGTTGACCTTTAACATTTACTTCATTTGCAGGCTGTAAAATGAATTTTGTGCACATTGACCTTAATGACCAGCGGGGCCTGCCAGCATAATTGGCCGAAAGTGTCCTTGCCTGGGTGCCGTGTACCGTGCCATGCCAGTGCTCGACTTAAGCAGTATCTTAAAGTCCGGCCCTAGCCTCGCATAAATATTTGCACACTGAAATCGAAAATTCCGCTTGTTTGCCAATTGAAAATTGGAAAGTGTAGTTGAAACTGCACACAGCATGCAGCCCGAGCTGTGAGCATCCCCAGAGCAGCCAGTGTGCCAGGTGTGCCAGGTGTGGCAAGAGAGAGGAGGAGCAGCAGCAGCAGCAGGGCAGGGTTGGCAGCAGCAAAATGCAACCGCAAATACTTGCTTATTGCTGGCAAAACTTTGCTTGTTAGTGTTTAGGTTGGAGTGCAGCAAAAAATCATAGCACACAGCCGGGGTGCACAACTTCCAATAAGAACCAAACAATGTCTATAAATCCACACACACACACGTACACACACACATTCGCACCAGGAAAGGGACTATAGTCTGCTCGCAACGGCAAAGGCAAAGGCAAAGATATAGTTGGAAAGGTAAAAAGTTTGCGCAAAAGTCACATATTTGTTCGATTTTGCTAAGTGCCAGCTTACAAGTGCCTTGCCCTTATCCTTCTGCGATTTGTTTACATGGCAGGCAACAAAGAGAGGCAACAGAAAGGGGGATCGTGCACCACTGCTCCTGCTGTTACCCGGCTAGTTGGAAAGGAAGTGTGTGTTCCGTGTTCCCCCACCCATACTAAATATCAATGCAGCTCGCTATCCACGCTGCACCCTGGAAGAGGGTATAACAACTTTGACTAGATATTCAACAGTCCCAAAGCTATGCATCTGGCAGGGTATTTAAGGTGTCGGATACCTGGACAGGCGTTCAATCCCTTCTTGTTTGTTTCTATGTTCCTGTCGTGCTCCCAGGGCGCTCTCATTGTCCGGCAGGGGCCGAAGCAGGAGAGAGTAAACACTTTTTACGCTCCTTTCACCGGAGTTTCTTTTTGGAGCAGCAGGAGCAGTGGCAGCTGCAACAACCCCCCGGCAGCCGCCTTGTTTATTGTTTCCCAATCTGGCCAGAGTGCGTCATTGCGGGAATTGTTCGGTCGTAGGAAACACATCGGTCAGGTTCGCCGAAACCGCAAGTGATACTAAATTGAAAAGTTAGATGCCATTTTTTTCTGCCCGACCCCAGGGAGAGTCCGACTTCCATTTTTTTTTTTTTGTTGCTGTCCATTGGATAGTTTGCAAAAGTTGCCAAATTTGTTTGTGCTTTGCTGCTGAGACAGTTGTGTGGTGTGTTGCAAGAGAGAGGGGCAGCAGCTCGCACCGTTGTTTATTTTTAGTTTTGTGATTTTGGAAGTTCTCCAATTGATCGAATGGTTTGTAGTACTCGCCTTAAACTGTATTCCATGCGAGCAAGTTGTAACTTTATATTGAAATGTTTTCTGCGTTTAGATGCAAAGTACTTGGAGTGGTTCCTGGAATCCCGAAAACGTGGCCCCAGCAACAGGCAACAGGCAGCAGGCAGCAGGCAACAAAGGAAAAGCAAAAGCAAAAGCAAACAAGCCCCAAAACTGAGTGGGCATATTTATCACAGCCCAATAATTTGTAGAGTCCCCCCACCCATGGCCCCCTTTCTCAGGCCACCAGCCGCACCCGCTTTACGAGTATGGCAAGCCGAAAGCAAACAAATGTCGGGCCACCAGGCATGTAATACTCGACTCGTATCTGTGTGCATGCATGGACGTGAGTGTGCGAGAATGAATGTGCTTGTGTGCACGTGTGGGTGAGTATTGTTTCGGTATTTAATAGGCTTTTGTTGCAAGTTTAAATGGAAATTGTTAAGGTTGCCGCTGCTCCTTGAGCCTGTACCTGTGCCTGTGCCTCTGTGCCACTGAGCCCATCATCAGCGTCGTCGTTCTCATTGCCTGGCTGCCAGGCAGCCCATTGAAAGATTTATCATACACCAGGAACGGGAACAGAAACAGAAACAGTTTGGTGGCAAATGAGCAGGGAGTGGTTCTGGAATCTCGCTAGCTAAATGAAGCAATGGGGAAACGCATATGGCAGCCCACCTGTCTGGGCCCAGGATGCCGTCTTGTGTTGACAGAGCCCACATAAGCAGGCCATACATACATATGTGTAATGGAATTTCTAATAACTGCCACATCCCTCGAACCCACACCAACACCCCAACACACCAAAAGCCCAGGCAGTCTGCCTGCTGGGTCAACAGTATTTAAGAACCGTCAACAGGCTCCATCCAGCAGTGACAATAAGCGCTGCAGCAGTTCATTTGCTCAGACCCTGGCACAGGAGTGGTTTGGTTTGGTTTGGGTTCGCTTTGATTGGGCCTGGTGCCTCCCCGTACATGGGCCCTTTCAAAGTTTCAGTGCCCAAGTGCACTTAGTCAAGCATCGCGTAACATGCACTTCAACAGCCCACCCATCCACCGAACCATCCGGGGCCACAGCCCAGGACCAGGCACAGGCCCAGCCCAGCCCAACTTCGGAGAGGTTTGGTTCATTCGAAAGCCAAAGCAATTTAATTAACATAAAAAACGCAGCTCGCACAATTCAAAACCATAAATCAAAAACCCGCACACGCCCAACACTAAACTTATACCAGGGCCCGGCCGGAGAGGACCTAAAAAAGCATACATACATGTCCTTCCATGAGTATTTGTCTGTGTGTGTGTGAGTGTGTGGAAAAAAGTCCAGCAAAAAGTGCACTAGGAAAGGTTTCAGATCGAAAAAAATGAAAAAGGAGAAACGAACCGTTTCTAATGAAACCCAAACTGCTAGTTACAGTCCACAGTTGCTGGCTCTTCTGGAAGTTATGCTTCACTGGAAGTGGATCTGGATACCCACTAACATTTTTTTTTCCATTTGTATTTTTATTTGTACCCTTGCCGCGGGTATTATGTTTGCCGCGTTCCGATGATGAAAAGTAAGTATGAGAACAGCTTTTGTGTGTGCCGTCCATATATACATACAAGACATACATATATAGAGATTTTATTACTGGTAGACTGAGCTAATGAAAATAAGATTTAACATGCTATTGACTAGTTTCATCCATATTAAATACCATTAAAAACTGTTTAATTTTTTAAATAGTTTTGCCTAAAGGGTATCACAAAGGAGTAAGCTACGCTTGCAAAGCCACACTTCTATTCTTTCATTTGTCACAGCTCAACACCCCACCAAAACGGGGAGGGGGTGGCAGGCCCAACCCATAACCCGTTCGTGTCGTGTCCAGAGGGCATCAGCATAAACAAAGGGCCCAAAGAGCACGCCAACATAATTTAGTTAAAGTTGCTTCGGTGCGGGGCGTGGACTGGGCCGCAGCACACCTCACCAAAGGAAATGAAAAATGCTGATTATGGAAACGCGAAGAGTAATTTGTTGTGTGTTATGGCAGCTCATTTGGCGGCGAGGGCGGGGGATTATTAATTTCGGTTTTGATTCGGATTTTCGCAGTTT